TGGAAATTTTACTTGCTCTTTGCTCAAGTTGTTTTTCATTGAAAAACTCGCACATTCCCTTTTTCTGCAAGTCAGTGAGACTATATTAGATTAAGTTGAAGAATAAACAATGAAGTTCAAGCTTAAGTCAGTATTACCACGCTTTAAAAAGGATCTTACCAAACATTCAACACATGTATCATACACCTTAGTTTTATCTCCATTTGAATCAATGATGGTTATCTTCTCCTTTTTCATGTTGAAACAAACTATATAAACATCATCCTTGTCTGTTTCATCAGTAACCAAGAAGAATACCTGCAGTAAAATAAGAACAGAAATGATATCAGAATAAATGAATACATTAGATACAAAACACTAAAAACAAACAATTCCATGTAGCTGACCAAATCTGCAGTACACATATCAATGCCGCTATAAAACTGTTGTTCTACCAATTCTCTGTCAGCGACTTCACAAAAGGTTTCATGCGCATCGTCATATAAACTGATCTTTACAAACTCAGCCTACATGAATAATGTAAAGTTTATGTCAGTGTCACATTTGAATATCTCCACTTTTATACACTAAAGTACATGAATGATGTAAAGAGGTTACATACAAAAGGATTCGTGCTAAGGAAAACTCGATAGACATCTGACTTGCTTCAATGCTTTTCCTCGGCATTCAAGAATCGACACCAAATCTGTAAAATAAGCGACGAGACAGACCCTTCGGAAAAGGATATTAAATCGCTTCGCTTCATTTCACAAAACATGTCTTTGTACAAAACTTCCCTGTAATTAAAATTATGGAAAATAGGATAAATAAATATCAAAAAAATCTTAATAATAATAATAATTAAATTAAGTAACTTTTTTACAAAACAACGTGAAAAGGTAACACTTACCCAAGTAAAAGAGATTTGTTGAATACGTAGTCCGTGAGAACCTTCTCGGCACGGCTCAACCGTGAGAGTGCTTCCATGTTTCTTATCCAAAAAGGAGAACATAAGGCGCGTGCAAATTCTTTATT